GCATGAGACCCATAAAGAGCTCAGATGGCGCTAAATGAAATCCTGGGAAAAACCTGGGCTGGTCTATCAACATACTTCGTCTTCCAGAGTGTTGAGTCACTGATAAACTAAAGCTGTGAAGTGAGTGACCCTTTCATATTTTAGTAAGGCTTTAATTGTTCTAGAAAAACAGGAGTTAACTGCCCTGTAGATGACAGGCATAAAGGCATTTACGTTATGAAAGAGTACATCGCAGGGCTAAAAACTGAACTCCTCTCCATTTTTCCCTTATCAATCTTTCATTATCTCATCACATATCTAGAAGGTGAGGAGGAGGGTGCAGGCAGCCAGGTAGGAGCTTTGTGCAGGTTAGGAATTCCTGCGAAGTCCAGGCCTCCTCCTTGCACAAACATTGAGGAAACATTTTTTTCCCGTGAGGCCTAGGTTCATTCATTGAAGGATCGCTGGACAAGGGGGAGGTGGGGTGGGGGGCAAAACAGTCATCCCACATCCCACCCACCCCGAGAAGCATTCCACAGGACTGTCTGCTCGCCCATCATTAAGCAAGACCACCTGCTGGCAAATAAGGACCCCCATCATGTTCTCAGCAAGCCTGGCTTACCCCATTAGCAGTGAGCCTCTGGACTGCTGTACACATGGATCATAAAGAGTTAGTGGTATGTTGAGCAGTAAAATGCTGCTCATTAACATCCCACAAGGACTTTTGATTGTCTAACCGGCGGAGCACACTGGCTGCACACAGTATTATGCTTCTTTTTTTTAAATAGCAGCAGCACAAAGGGACAAAGAAAAGATCTTTGATGCAGCTGTTGCATGACTGTGCACCGACTTTCTGACTGACTCATCTCTCCTCTTCTAAATAGAGTCGAACTAGAGGAAGAGATGAAGACAGAAGGAAGAAACAGCCCTTTGTTGCTGTACTTCGTCAGGGCCTTGAGCGAAAGACGCTGGCATCGAGTCATCAGGGGCTGAAACAAAAGCAGCTGATAAACAGACCAAGACAGATAAGATCTCCCTGAACGCTCAACACTTCTCCATCAAGAGGGCTTCCTCTCTTCCAAACCCACAACACCTCCGCCTTCTCTCTTTGTTGCCGTTAACACAGCACAGGAGAAAATGATAATATACAGAGTGCATACCTTTCAATTGATTGCCTCTTTACCAAATTTTTGTAGAACAAGGCGTTTCGGCTCAGCCTTGAATTAATCCTCTTTTACTTAACAATAACTTCATTTTTGTTTCTTGAGACACAGCACAGTATGTGGCAACTGCCTGATATTCGGCCCTGGCAAGGTGCAAGTGCAACAATGCAGATGTGACACTTTTTTTATATGTCAGTTTCATATTCCAACCCTAGAAATACTGGTAAGGGCGTGAGTAAGTAAAGTAGGCCAATCTTATGTGTACAACATTTTAACAGCACTGCAAGTGTTTACTGAGATCTTGTAAACACTCCTCTGGGGGGGGGGGGGGGGGGGGGGGGGCAACTATGGCACATGAAAGCCTGCAGCAAAGTGATCACACACATGGACTGAGTGGCCCTGAAGTGCCACGGCCCAGGGCGACGAGCACAGCAGTAGAAAAGGAGCGCGAAACATAACGCCTGAAGGCATCCTTTTTCACAGGGCGTTGATCCAAACTCAAACAAATATGCCACAGCAAACACAACATCCAGTAAATTCCACCCAAAACATCTACATCACATCATTCATCAAATGTTCCTTCGTGTACGCGTCCTTCTCAAAACTCTTGGTGGCAGGGAGCTCACACAAAGCCTTTTTTCTTCAACCTCAGACAACGCGCCTCCCCACCTAGCTCTCTGCCAGGCATTCCTAGTCTATCCTAGCTATCGAAAATGTCAAGAATGAGGTGAGAGCAGAGGATGGTACAATGAGTGTTGCGGCAGGTAGAGTCTTGTCCCGCTGTACTGACATCCAACAGTCTCCGGGGGTAGTCGTTGCACGGAGCGGATGGGATCTGACTTGACTCTCTTAATTAAAACTCTTCCCTGAAACAAGCCTCAAAGCTTATTCTCTACCGGATGGAGACATGCAAGGTAATTATCGGGGTGAATTCCACTCAAATTCAAAACAAATACAGATTGCACTGTGTGGCTGAATCTTGGAAGTGTATCAAGATATTACTTATAGGAAAAAAATGCATAGGAAGCCCCTGAAAAAAGGTTCAGTTCTTGCAGATTCCTTAAAACATGATTTCTGTCTAGCCTTTACTTTCTTGAAGTATTTTCTTACCGCTATTCCTTCAACTGTAAGGTGATATGAGAAAATGAGGTTATGTTAAGTAAACCCTCTTCAAGTACAAAGCCCCTAAACAAAAAGGGCACATTCTAGACTTGTCAGAGCCAAGAAACTCCCCTTTCAACAACAGGAGTCCAAAAAGAAGAAAAGGGGGGTGAATAAAAAGGTTAGCCGTGCAGTGTTTCGTGCCTGGACAGACAAACAGAAGAAGTTTTATGTGAGTGCCAAATGCAACTTAACACTGCAAACAAGCTCCATCCATTGGAGCATCCTGCCACCCAGAAATGTTCAGAGGAAAATACCCAGGTTATAGACTCAAGCAACTCTCGCAATCGCTGCAGAAAGTCTTCAGCAAGGTGATTCATGCTCTGATTCGTTTCCCCCTGGTGTTCCCGGGGCAACCTAAGTGTTAGATTCAAACTTTGAACAGCTGCCAACATTGTCAAGCACCAGTAAAAGTTAAACAGCAGCAAGCTCACTGCTCACTGCTCGCTGGCAATGGGGGCAGAGGCGGCTACAGTCTCACAGTCACGGTGGATGCTGACATTTATTAGTCATGGCTGTATGGCTCATCTCATAAGAGCTTGACAAATTACCTCTCAACCAAAAAAGGCCTCAGAGGAATAGAAGTTTTTGATTAACTCTTTTCATGCTAAAGTTCTGGTACACAAATCCATAGAATAAAGCACCTTTTATACACAAGGTATTATAAAGCAATAATTTGTGTGTGGGCAAGTTTGATCCAGCCATTCATGGCCTGTTTCTGCTGCCCTTTTCTCTATGTAGGTAAAGGGTTATTTTCAGTTTCTTTTACAGTGAAGTTAAAACAGTAAAAGGCTATGAATTTGTTGTAGAAAAAAGTGTGTGGGAACCTGCATTGCCCTGTAAAGCTCCCATGTCACGTTTTATGTGAATGTGTTTTAGTTTCACCTCTGACTTAATAAAAGGGGCCTGCTACAAGGTTCAAAGGTCGGGGATCATCCCTTAACCACTCAACCCGTGTCCTCAAGGTGCTATCCAGACTCACCTACCTCAAGGCTACGCTGGGAAAAGCTGGAGCTTCACCATGGCAACAAAGCTCCTAAAATGACTCATGTGTCCTTGTTTCAGGGAGTTCTGGGAAACTTTGACACTGTGCCTGAAGCTATATAATTTCAGCAGCCACCGGTGTATGAAATCCTTGCCGCTTTAAGTGATTTACAATTACTGCGGGAAACAACAGCGTGAATCCTAAACTGAATTTCTCACAGGTAACAGGAAATATTCCAACAACTTATTAAAAAGCAATGATATGCCCTGATAAACCTACAAATGAATTTCTATAAATATTAAGAATTCCTAGAACCTGTTAAGCCCTGAGCCTGTTTTTCAGGTTTCAGGCTCGAAAATGACATGACCAGAACAAATTACTATATCTTCACTTCTAAAAGGGGTAAATTAATAACTTTTTTCTCAAAGCAATGATACACCTGTGAGTTGGATGTAGAAAAGTCAGAATCAATATAGATGTTTTTATTTTAAAGTAAATTCAGATTGAACATAGTAAAAAAATGTAAATTATAGTTTCCGTCCAAAAAAGAAACCATATACTTATAGTGAAAACCACTCTTGAATGATGGGATAGTAGACTAAAAGCTTTAGGAATCCAAACTATAACATATAATAAGTACCCTGTATCAAGATTGATGCAAAACAAGTGACATTTTACCTTTTTAGAGAGGTTTAGAAAAGAAAAAAACACCTCTGGGTGTATTTGCCATATCTCTGGAACCCATTGGTCGATGTTGGTGATTGACACCACTTTTGAACCGTTAGAGCCAATAGAATCGAGAGGGAGTTCCTAAATCCATCTACACGTTACCATTGAGGAGTGAGAGTGATGCGCACGCAGCTTGCCCAAACCGAAAGCTATGTTACGCTCTGAAAACTGAAAACTAGGCTTATTGCCATAAATGTGATGATGGATTATCAGTAATCATTTCAAAGGGACACAGAGACATTGGATTAATCTTCAGCAGCGTTTATATGCATTTTAATGCCCTTGAACACAACTTTTGATCAGAAAACAGCAAAGGTAAGACGTATTTTCCGTGTTGGCTACGTAAAGTGAAGTTGTGTGTTGTCTTTGCTGGCTTTCGCTGCCGTGAGTTTTGGTCGCACAGTGATGATACTTATACCATTGGAATCTGTGGGATCTCAGCTTTCAGGTGATATATTGTTTGTGCAGATCCGATGAAGTATAACATATTTCTACCATGAGTTATGTGCTAAGTGCGTTAGCACTCTTTCGCTTAGTGCTAATTCAGACGCTTGGCGTTACGGCCCGTCCACACGGCGGGGTGCGTTGAAGCTTCAACGCTTCAGCCCATTCACTTTGAATGGGGTGACGTCACGCTTTGCCGAACTTCATTGTGGTTCCGTTGCTTCGCGTCAGCCAATCAAATCATAAGCCAGTACAAGCTCTAGCCAGTACAAGCTCTAGCCAATCAAACCGCGTGCTTGTGTGTCCGGGGCGGGAGATTCATGTGATTGGTTGTTGGTTGAGTTTCAGACACGCCCACCGGCAAGCTTCGTCCACACAGCGTCCACACAGCACACCGCTGTATGGACGCTGCGTTATAGTTGTGTTTTGTTCCGCTGTTTCTTGCAAAATGTTGCCGGGCTTTTAAGACTCCCAACAACACGTGCTGTGTATTCCATCCTAAGAAAGACAGGTTATTCCATTCACAAGAGGCTGCTTACCTTCCACGCAGTGTTCCACGTCCTCCAGGTTGCGCAGGGTAATCCTCATCAGACTTGAGTTGAGCATAAGTTCGTTCTTGTGTTCTGGTCCCATGTCTTCCTTGGCAGGGTTGAGAAAGAATATGCGAGTGTCACCCGTGGCTACCTGGTTGTCGCAGATCCCGGGGTTGCCAAAGCCGCCTATCATCAACTTGTTGCCGCCGTCCAGGAGGATTTCACGGTTGATGTTGGTCTTCCCTTTCAAGTAGCGCCACACCCTGACCTACAGCCGAACAAAAAACAGAAAGACACCATATTTCTTAGTATTTTGTCAAGAACATACATATTATTTTCCTTAATAGGTATGCACAAGGGCTCTGTTAGGGATTTGGGGCCCCTGGCTAGCTCTGGGCTATGTGAGTCATGGTTTCTCCTTAACATGCATGTTTGTGGAATGACAGGCAGGTGCTTTTCTGATCTTTACAAATAACTTATTTTCACCTACGCAAAACAAACTTTCCTTAACATTTTATGCAATAACAGTAATTATTTATATTTGAATACATCTCATACAATACATCCAGATACACGTATCTAAATAAAGCAGAATGCATTTTGATTCCATACATCAGTGCCACAAAAAGTCTGATTTATGCACAGTCATGAGAAAGCTCGCCCCTTCTGCTACATGTTAGCCGCCTTATCTCATGTCAGCGCTTGGTGGTGGTTTCTGTTTCCAGAGGGAAAGCCGTGTGCGTCTAATCTACTCCACTGATTCACCGGGAGACGGGAAGCGTGTGGGTGCAGAGGAAAAGAGCTGCGAGAGAGCTGACCAAACACCACTTGTTTATTCTTGACTGATTATAGAGTGGTCTACCACAAGCCCACGATGATGCAAAAGTTCATTTTAAGAAGGGCTTTGGAATGAGGATGGAGGAAGCCGGAAAATGTGATTATTTGTGGAACAGTGGCTGTTGTTTTTCAGCCTATATGCCATTATATATGTGGCACATTAGTTAGAGACATGATGTTCCTGTGATTAAGAGAATGGGGAATGTACAGTTTATCATGTACAGGTTTCATATGAGTGACTAATGAATCTGTAGGGCATACATCTCTATTGCTTTGGGCAAACCTTGCAGCACTTGTTAAAACTGTCTTCACAGAAAAAGAAAAAAAACATGTTATTGTCGCTTACTTACCTGTACTGACTGCTAAGTGTTTTTGTGGTAGCCTACTACCCAATCATCTTATTACGGAATTGTCTTTCATCCCAAGGGATATAACTGTTAAGTCACAAATCTCTAGTTAGAGATGCACTTGTCAGCAACGCCACAGGACAAATCATAACTTAGAATATCACTTGGGAGCCTCTGGAAAATGAATGTGCATGTTTTTTAACATGTATGACTAGAAATAAAGTAAGAGTCACAGAAGTGAGTCTCGTACATACATATGTTTGGGATGATTACAAGCTTGGTTAGACCTTTATTGTAGATAGTTGGTAAGTGAAACCCAAGTAAAGTGGATTCGCTGTGTGTGTTCATGTAACTGCTGCCAAACGCTTCTGGATGAATGAGTATGTAAAATGTTTTTCAGGCAAGCTGTTGATGCCTTTGAGAGAGTTGGACTAGAAACTTGCTGGTAATGGCTTCCATGGGATACACGATGTTAAGAGATAATGGGACTTTTAACATTCCACTTAAAACACTATTAGCAGTACTTGCGGTGCAAGAAGCAGGTGTATTTCCCCCCTGCGGTAACTTGCTAGTTACGAAAACCACATATAAACACGTACCTTGCAAGAATAGGTATTGTGCACCGGGTCCATGTTTATTATTTCGTCCACGGTGCCGGTCAAAACTATGTTGGCCTCCTCTTCCCTGTCCTCCAATTCTCTCTCTGGGCAGCTTGCGGCGCAGCGGTGCCCCAGAGCCACGAGCAGCCCCGCCACAAGCAGCACTAACCGGCCGCCCGCGAGTGTCCGATGGGAACCCATGACCACCACACGGATGTAACCGAAAAAAGTTAACTTTCACGAAATGAAAATGTCACTTCCCGGAGCGTCCGTGAACAAACTCTTTCGAATGCGTTTCTCCAAAAATAATCACTTCTTTCCACAACTTCCCTACTGACTACCGGTGTCTCTTTCACTCTGCAGCCCTGTTCCCTGCATCTGCAGCCCGGGTTGAAAATCCCTCTCTGCCGCCGCCGGCTGGGAGACCAGGAGGAAAGAGAGGAAGGAGGAGAAAGGAGGAGCAAGGGGCAGGGATATATCTCTCTCTCTCTCTCCAGGAATGCAACTGCACTTCAATCTCTCCCTCTCTTTTCCTCTCGACTCACACACACATTCACGGTGACGCTTCTGGATTTGCATGCGATCTGAATTGCTGATTCCACAAGTGAGGGTGGGTGGTGGTGAGGAGTGGGTGGTGGTGAGGGGTGGCGGGAGAGGAGTACTGCACGATGGGATGCCGGCTGAAAGTGGCTGTCCAACGCCGCCCCCAGTCGGAAAAAGGGTGTCCTTACCTCCGGTACCCATCAGAAGCAACCTCCAAATCTTGCAGACACATTGAGAAAGAAGCAAGCAGAGGATCCCATATTGTGATAGCTTATGGAATGTCATAGCAGTGTTGAGTGTAAACATGACATCCATTTGGTGGGTCATCAGTGTGCAGGATATCATAGGCTACCTCTAGCTTCCAAATTATCCATTTCATAATGGACAGCACTGTCCGAGATTAAAGACAGTAGGCTATAAAAAAAACACAGCAAGCATTTTATCTCATAGTTCATTCATAAAGTTAGGTTTTAATTTGTCCCATTCAACAAATAGCAATATATTGGTGGTGATCACGCTACAATTTGATCAGTTCCAGTTCAAACTCATATGCTAATGACCTTGCTCAAGACAGGAGGAAGCATCAGCTTAAGGTGCAAGAATAAGCTTAAGGTGCAACTTTTTACCAAAATGAGGCAAGCATAGGCCTACATTCTTTGAGTCTTATACTAATAAAAGAAAAGTACGGTGGCCCTGAAGTACAAGACACCACAGCATTTCACAAAACACAACAGCATTTCACAAAACGCCACAGCATTTCACAAAACACAACAGCATTTCACAAAACGCCACAGCATTTCACAAAACGCCACAGCATTTCACAAAACGCCACAGCATTTCACAAAACACAACAGCATTTCACAAAACGCCACAGCATTTCACAAAACGCCACAGCATTTCATAAAACGCCACAGCATTTCACAAAACGCAACAGCATTTCACAAAACGCCACAGCATTTCACAAAACGCCACAGCATTTCACAAAACGCAACAGCATTTCACAAAACGCAACAGCATTTCACAAAACTCCACAGCATTTCAGAAAACACAACAGCATTTCACAAAACGCCACAGCATTTCACAAAACGCCACAGCATTTCAGAAAACACCACAGCATTTAACATTGGACGGAAAGGGTATTCCTTAGGGAGAACACTTCTTGTTTGTGATTGGACAGAGCCAGCCATAGAAGCACTGCTGTGATTGGTTGTTTTTGCTGCCAGTCAAGAAATGACGCTTCGTGATTGGCCCAACACATCAGCCGTTAGCTGTTAGCACACACTCAGAGCTCACAGCTCCTCATATCTGTTCAGAAACTGGACAAAAGTTAAACATATACAAAACACAGACTGTCTATGTCATGGCGAATACAGTCGCTGCTTTATTTATGTCTGTATGACATTGTTGTGAGTGTGGACGGAGCAGCTACAGGTTAGTTTAGCCTGATGGATCCGATTCCGATTTACATGGAGATACGGCCCGCCCCCTCTCCAGCGTCTTGTTTGAATGACAGGAGTAAACACAGAATTAATGCTTTATTCATTCATGGTTTTTAAGGGGCTTATCTCATAGTATGTAAATACTATGGTAGACTACCCAATATTCGCATCGCTCGAGTTTCACCGCGGCTGTCAGCTGTGTTTGCTCCTGTCATTCAAACAAGAGGCGCTGGAGAGGGGGCGGGGCGTATTCTTTCACACACACATACGGGTTTTGGGCCGAGGGCCGGTATCCGCCATTTCACATGAGGTGCAAGCAGAATATCATAGTCTATTGCCTTAATCAATATCTAGTCAACTCTAAAATACCACATATATGCAATGGCATGATAATATTATTGTGACAAGTGGGGTATTCACCTGGTGTTTCCAGAAGATAGACGTAGATGCTGCCAAAATCGACTGAAGGCCACTTTCGAGGTTCGTTTTTCCATACATCTGCAGGCAGTCTGTAAGGGCAATCCGACAACCCACACAGCTCTAGTTTACGCTGGTAACGACCTAGAGCACACCCCTCAAGTCCAGAGATGTAATCCGAAGACATGCAGCGATTTATTCGGTCGTTAATTCAGAAAAAAACCTAGTGCGCTCTGCCTGGCTACGTTTGCTAGCTGTTTATATTTGCACCTCCAGGATATTTGCACCTCCATGAAAATGGCGTATTTATATATATATGGCGCGCGTTGCATTGTGGGTAGTAGCTCGTGACGTCACTGTGTGTGAAAGAATCTCCATGTAAATCCTATGGGAGATACCAGCGCCATATAGAGAGCTCTGGGAAATACCAACTACAACAAAATGAACATATTTGACCGTGATTTAATTGTAATACACGTTTCAAAGTGATGCCGAAGCAACTACATACTGATAACGGTTAGTAAAAACCATGAATTAACAAGTCTGCAGACAAGACGGCAGGCGAAAAGCTTTTAAAATGCGTGTTTTCTGAATGGAATCGGATCCATCAGGCTAAACTAACCTGTTGCTGCTCCGTCCACACTCACAACAACGTCATACAGACATAAATAAAGCAGCGACTGTATTCACCATGACATAGACAGTCTGTGGTTTGTACATGTTTAACTTTTGTCCAGTTTCTGAACAGATATGAGGAGCTGTGAGCTCTGAGTGTGTGCTAACGGCTGACCAATCACGAAGCGTCATTTCTTGACTGGCAGCAAAAACAACCAATCACAGCAGTGCTTCTCTGGCTGGCTCTGTCCAATCACAAACAAGAAGTGTTCTCTCTAAAGGAAAACCCTTTCCGTCCAATGTGAAATGCTGTGGTGTTTTCTGAAATGCTGTGGTGTTTTCTGAAATGCTGTGGTGTTTTCTGAAATGCTGTGGTGATTTGTGAAATGCTGTAGCGTTTTGTGAAATGCTGTGGTGTTTTCTGAAATGCTGTAGCGTTTTGTGAAATGCTGTAGCGTTTTCTGAAATGCTGTAGCGTTTTGTGAAATGCTGTGGTGTTTTCTGAAATGCTGTAGCGTTTTGTGAAATGCTGTAGCGTTTTGTGAAATGCTGTGGTGTTTTCTGAAATGCTGTAGTGTTTTCTGAAATGCTGTGGTGTCTTGCACTTCAGGGCCACCGTAGAAAAGAGACCTTTGTTTGTTGGTCCATCATAGTGATTGTATTGTTAGAGAATAGATGATGTCTTGTCATGTGCCTGCACTGCACCAGTGTAATCAATCATTAGATGCAGCTTACAATGCTGTCAGCTTTAAAAGCCTTAATACTTGCCTAATGGATTTTAAATACAATAAAGTGTTTGCATCATGGCTACTATTTTCCTATGCACCGTCTTCCCACTTCCTCCTCAAGAATATGATTTAAGATGTAGATTGGTCACATATACAAAAAACAATACCACTCATTAATTTACATACATAACCTTAAAGCTGCACCAATCTTTTTTTTGCATGAATCGATCTTTCGAATGTTTAATGCTCATACTCATAGTTACAAACCCACAGAGAATTAACACCCAACTCTGCCTAGCTGTACGTAGCATTTTAGGACCTTTCAGCTAATTGTTTCGGTTTTACATCACGCCACTTCACTTTTTTGGTTCACTATCACGGCTTTTACCAACCTCGCTTTTTTAAGCGGAAGCAGGCAGCTGTTTTAAGAGCCCTGATAAGAACAACATAGTGGACAATTCGGGACGAGCTGGTGAACATAGTGGAACACTTAATAGCTAAAGAGGCAGCCGTTCTAAGAGTTGGAGATCAAAATAAATGTATAAAACAAAGCAGAGTGAATATTGGACCAGCAACATGACTCCATCAAAATGTTACTTCAACTCTGACGGATGAGTAAAAGCAAAAAGGGAACTGTTTGCTGCTATAACAATAAGGCGATACATTTTTTCAAATTTCAGGTTTACAGCTTGTTTCACTTACAGTAATGCCATTTTCCAAAAAAAAAGAATGTGGCTTTCAATTTAACAATGCATACTGTAAAATGTGAACTTGGACTTCATTAACCTTTTACGTTTTTTAATGGACTCAATGTGCATGATACAATTTCCTAACATTTGAATTCTTGAGATTTATCTCCAAAACTTCTAGGAACGAAATTGGAACTTTGAAAAGAGAGTATCAAATCATATCCCTTTAATATTATCAGGATGCAGGACTGGGACTAAAAATCAGCCCGGGACTCTCGACCGGCCCACTTCGGTACCGCCGGCCCACCTCGGTACCGCAAGTAAATACCGCTAGTAAATGATCGACGGGACAGGGACGGTGGTGGGGGGGTGCTAGTGACTTATCCGACCGGCCCACATCGTCCGACCGGCCCACTTCAGTACCGGCCCATCGGGATTCGTCCCGAACGTCCCGATGGCCAGTCCGCCACTGTACAAGATGTGTGATTTATTGGAGAATGGCACTGGTATAAAACAAATAGCAACACTCTGTCTGTTCCAGTTTGAATCTCTGTAAACTTTTTCTCAAATAAAGTTGTTCATGTTAAAGGTAGGGTAGGTAAGAATGGAGAAACCAGGGCGAGTAGTCCATTTAGCTTAGGAACCTTCCTAACGGAGGGAAATGACCCGGAAGTCCCCCCCTGATAAGTGCCGTTCAAATTCTCTAATTGAAAGGAAAGGAGGTTTCAAACTTCCTGTATAACCTCCTTTAGCTTAGGAACCACTGGACCTCCCTTTACGAAAGGAGAGGAGAAAATGCTGCCCCACAATGCCTTGCAGCCGCAGCATTTGCCGTCACACAACATTCGGCCGTTCACGGAAACAACCGATTATGACTGAGAAATTATATCATGAAAGTTACGGTGCTTATTAAGCATTTTAAAACGTATGTGGTAAGTTGCCAAAGTGCTTTGTTTTGAACGTTCATCAGTATTATAATCAACAAGTGAAATATGAACGTTTTTACTGAAATTATCAAATAAAGTCAACA